CCTGTTTCATCCCTGGCTTGTGACCCCGACCATTCTCTGCCTGACCCCCTGTACCTACCTGCCCGATTGTTATTGACCCGGCCTGCCTGACGACGCTTGCATTGTATGTACTGTTATCTGTGGGTGGTTGGTTTGGTTCGTTTGCACTGTGTTATGTTTTAGTATTGCACTGCGTTTATGTTTGTATTGTTAGTCTTTAATAAATTATATTGTTTATAACATATCTGAAGTCTGCGTTTCCCTGCGTCAGTCACATACCTCTGGTCATACCCTGGAGCCCTGACAGTCAGCCAATGAAGTGACTGGTTGTTAGGATGCCAGTGGCTAGAAGGTCATAGTGGTGCGCAGTGAAAACCCGTGGCTTCGTGTAACTAAAAGGTAGGTTTGGCTTTTATTTTTAATTTTTGGGGAAGATATTAGACATTTCGCCAAGTCATCCCTGAAGAAATCTGAAGGCGTCCAAGGGTTCCTGGGCACCCTAGTTGAAAAAGGCTGCTGTAGATCGCTGTTTATCAACCTTTTTTTCAGTCACGGCACCCTTTAAAAGTAGGTAAAATCTCGAGGCACCCCGGTCTAAAATGTAAATGTTACTCATCGATAGAAAACCTGAGCCTGGGGCGATGCACACAATTGTCTTGATGAAATGAATGCCACACCATAATGCCACATCTCATCATAGGCCCCTCATCAGGTCAGAGGTCTCCCCATCATGTCAGAGTCCCTCCCCTCATCATGTCAGAATCCCCTGAGTCCTTTCTATACATTAGAGTACCCCCTATAAAAGTAGTGCCCACCAGTCACCGATTCTTCTCATCACATCAGACTGAGCCTATCACAAAACCCCCCAAATCACAGTCCCCCCATCAGTCCTCTCTTCACATCAGAGCCCCACAAATACACATCCCCCCATTGCAGGGGCCACCAATCACACAGTCCCCTCTTCCCATCAGAGACCCCCCAATCACACAATACCCTCTTCACATCAGGGACCCCCCAATCACACAATACCCTCTTCACATCAGAGCCCCCAATCACACAATTTCCTCCTCACATCAGAGCCCCCCAATCCCACAATCCCCTCTTCACATCAGAGCCCCCCAATCACACAATACCCTCTTCACATCAGAGACCCCCAATCACACAATACCCTCTTCACATCAGAGACCCCCAATCACACAATACCCTCCTCACATCAGAGCCCTTCAACCACGCAATACCCTCTTCACATCAAAGCCACCCAATCCCACAATACCCTCTTCACATCAGAGACCCCCCAATCACACAGTCCCCTCTTCACATCAGAGTCTCACCAATCACACAGTACCCTCTTCCCATCAGAGCCCCCCAATCACACAATACCCTCTTCACATCTGAGACCCCCAATCACATAATACCCTCTTCACATCAGAGCCCCCCGATCACACAATACCCTCTTCACATCAGAGCCCCCCAATCACACAATACCCTCCTCACATCAGAGTCTCCCCAATCACACAATACCCCCCAATCTTTCCATCAGAGAACCCCAATCACACAATACCCTCTTCACATCAGAGCCCCCCCAATCACACAATACCCTCTTCACATCAGAGTCCCCCAATCACACAATACCCTCTTTCCATCAGAGACCCCCAATCACACAATACCCTCCTCACATCAGAGCCCCCCAATCACACAATACCCTCTTCACATCAGAGCCACCCAATCACACAATCCCCTCTTCACATCAGAGCCCCCCCAATCACACAATCCCCTCCTCACATCAGAGCTCCCCAATCACACAGCCCCTTCTTCACATCAGAGCTCCCCAATCACAAAGCCCCCTCTTCACATCAGAGCCTCCTGGAACCTCTGCTAGGGTATCATTGCTTTCTGTGTCCCCATGTTGTAATTTCTCACTTTCTACCCATTCAGCCCTTGGAGTTCTGGAGCATTGCTAACACACCTGTGCTAATGTGCGTTTTATGATATCACCCAATAACGTGCGGTGCATTAAGGCTGCCAATTTGGGACCAAAATGTCCAAAATACTGATATGCCCCGTGTGTGGCAGTCACCGCACATGAGGGAGAGCAGCAGTGAGCGGTCTTGTTTACAGAGGCAGTTATATACTTGATTACTGCACAGATATGGAAGAAATACACAAAGCACACGGGATCCGGGGAAGAATACACATGATCAATATATTTATTTCAGGTACTTATACAGCGCCATCAATTTATGCAGCACTTTATATATATTATTGTACATTCACATCAGTCCCTAACCCTCAAGGGGTGTACAATCTAAGGTCCCTAACCCTCAAGGGGTGTACAATCTAAGGTCCCTAACCCTCAAGGGGTGTACAATCTAAGGTCCCTAACCCTCAAGGGGCGTACAATCTAAGGTCCCTAACCCTCAAGGGGTGTACAATCTAAGGTCCCTAACCCTCAAGGGGCGTACAATCTAAGGTCCCTAACCCTCAAGGGGTGTACAATCTAAGGTCCCTAACTCACATTCATACATACACATACTAGGGACAATTTAGACAGGAGCCAATTCACCTACCAGCATGTCTTTGGAGTGTGGAAGGAAACCGGAGTACCTGGAGGAAACCCACGCAGGCACAGGGAAAGCATGCAAACTCCAGGCAGGTGGTGCCATGGTTGGGATTTGAACTGATGACCCGAGTACTGCCAGGTGGAAGTGCGAACCATTTAGCCTCTGCGCTGCCTATTTAGACTGTATTCACTTTTCCCGAAGTTCAACTACAGTGCCTTGACAAAGTATTCATACCCCTTGAAATTTTCCACATTTTGTCATGTTACAACCAAAAACGTCAATGTAATTTATTGGGATTTTATGTGATAGACCGACACAAAGTGGCACCTAATTGTGAAGTGGAAGGAAAATGAGAAATGGTTTTCAATTTGTTTTTGCAAATAAATATCTGAAAAGTGTGACGGCATTTGTATTCAGCCCCTTTTACTCTGATCCCCCTAACTAAAATCTAGTGGAGCCAATTGCCTTCAGAAGTCACCTAATTAGTACAGAGTCCCCGTGTGTCATTTAATCTCAGTATAAATCCAGCTGTTCTGTGAAGCCCTCAGAGGTTCTTCCTGATGGTGGACACAGAGTAATAAAAACATTTTTAGCACAGCGGGGAAAGGTCATTCGCTCTGTACGTTTCCTATTGTTGGGTATGGAGGAAAGAACCAAAAGCAGAATGTATAAAGTCCAGTTTTACATTTAGACAGATATTTATATCATTCATAGCAAATGGCTTGCTATGGGGGGCACAAGAAAAAAAAGGAGGAGCCAAGATTGCCAACAGGGGACCCAAGAACAGGAGAAGGTGAGTATAACATGTCTATTATTTTAATTAAAAAAATGTTTCACTTTAGTAACACTTTATTTCATCGAAAGTCAGAACATTTTTATCAAGTGACTGAATTCCCTGGAGATGAGCTTTAAAGCAAACTCCCAACCCAAACTTCCCATCCCGGTGATCACACAGAGTAGGGGGATCAGGGGGAATCCCACCCCCAAAGCAGCAATATCCTGACAAGGGTTCTAACCCATCTCGTCTCCATCTACAATAACAAAATCAATCTTTTGGCTGCAGGTTTTAAATGTCATATTAATGCCTGTGTAATATAGATGACATAAAAATGCCAAGTAAGGTAAAAAATATTTACAGTCCAATAGTCTGTGGTGGCTGCATTAGATTGTCGCAAGAACGTTCCCTTTGTGACGCATTTCCACCAGCAGACATAAACAGAGTCGCATATCTGAAATACACCATTTTGGGTGAGTTTGTCCAACTGGGCAGGGAAGATTCTTTGCTTGAATATCGTGATCTGTAGTTGTAAGAGCAATAATCCATTCGCTGGCAGAGGGAAACACATCACACCAGGGCTTGAAAAAGCCGCTCGCCCCGCTCGCCAAATGCGAGGAGAAATTCTTGTGTGGCGAGCGGTGAGCACAGATGATGGAGCGGCTGCACCTGCGCTCCAAGCCTCATGGTGAAGCCGAGTTCCGGTTTCCGGCTTCTTCGTCACCGCCATTACACTGGCAGCGCTGCTGAGGGGACAGGTGCAGGAGAGGTCCGCTCTCCTCCGCAGAGAGGAGACACCCTCTCCACCACCGCGGGGGACTCGAGGAGAGGTCCGCTCTCCCCCGCCGTGGGCACCGGAGGAGAGGTCCGCTCTCCCCCGCCGTGGGCACCGGAGGAGAGGTCCGCTCTCCCCCGCCGTGGGGACCGGAGGAGAGGTCCGCTCTCCCCCGCCGTGGGGACTGGAGGAGAGGTCCACTCTCCCCCGCCGTGGGGACCGGAGGAGAGGTCTACTCTCCCCCGCCGTGGGGACCGGAGGAGAGGTCCACTCTCCACCACCTTGGGGGACATTCCTAATTGAATAGAATGCAATCCACACACAGCCATTGGAGTGGTATTTTGCATCAGAAAAAGGGTATTCCGCAAGTCTTGGTCCTGCTGTACCACACACACCATGGCTGCTCTATTAGCACATCTTTGGCAAAATGTTTACTATTGTTATGCCGTGTTTTTTGGCATCTAAAAAAGCACTTTTTTTTTTTTTCTTAATGCACTACTTCTCTAAGATCTCTTTTAATAGGATGCTGGAGATAAACAAAACAAATACAAAATGTTCACTACAGGTTTAAAGCTGGAAAACCTGATATTTTCATTGCACCCCATTGCTATTAAGCTATTGCTGTAATGTTTAAATTGACATAATAATGTTATAATTGCAGTTTTTTATATTTTGGACTCTTTATTCTAAAGAAAAATGTAATTTCATAAGCTTTAAGGGGGCGTGGTTGGGGCTAGGGCTGGAAGCGGGGTTGGGGGACGGGATGGGGGTGGGATTGGAGGCGGACCTGGGCAAAGTTAGGTGGGGCAACTGGTGGAGAGTAAGGTTTGTGCCTGGCTAGTAGGTTTAGACTCGAAATGTTAAGCCCTGCTGTACTCTGGGGCAGTGTTTCTCAACCTTTTTTTTAGTCAAGGCACCCTTTAAAATTATGGACAGTCTTGAGGCACCCTTTAAAATTCTGGACAGTTTTGAGGAGCCCTTTAAAATTCTGGACAGTCCCGAGGCACCCTTTAAAATTCTGGACAGTCTTGAGGCACCCTTTAAAATTATGGGCAGTCCCGAGGCACCCTTTAAAATTATGGACAGTCTTGAGGCACCCTATAAAATTATGGGCAGTCCTGAGGCCCCCTTTAAAATTATGGACAGTCCCGAGGCACCCTTTAAAATTATGGACAGTCCCGAGGCACCCTTTAAAATTATGGACAGTCTTGAGGCACCCTTTAAAATTCTGGACAGTCCCGAGGCACCCATTAAAATTCTGGACAGTCCCGAGGCACCCTTTAAAATTCTGGACAGTCTTGAGGCGCCCTTTAAAATTCTGGACAGTCCCGAGGCACCCTTTAAAATTCTGGACAGTCCCGAGGCACCCTTTAAAATTTTGGACAGTCCCGAGGCACCCTTTAAAATTCTGGACAGTCCCGAGGAACCCTTTAAAATTATGAAGAGTCCTGAGGCACCCTTTAAAATTATGGACAGTCCCGAGGCACCCCATTCTAAAATGGGAATAACTATTTTAATAGTTTTATATAACGCAGCAACATCCACACATGTAGGACCCCCAACATTAGAGGTGATTTATTCTTCCAAAGCAAATACACTTTTGCACACTGGTACTGACTAGTATTCCAATGTTTCTCTTCTCCATCAGTTTTTATCCATCACTGAGCTAATGTGACCCCAGCACTGATGGAGAGGGGCGGGGGAGGGTCAAACTAGGATGCTGTGCAGGCAAAGGACATCCTCTTTATCAACTGATGATGTCATTGGTTGTCAGGATGTCGGCAGCTAGAAGGTCAAAATGGAAACCTGTGGCTTTGTGTAACTAAAAGGCTCCACCTGCTGTCTTGTATACAAGTTTTGGGCAATTTTTAAACATTTTGCCAAGGCACCCCTGAAGACACTTCAAGGCACCCCAGGGTGTCTGGGCACCCTGGTTGAGAAAGGCTGGTCTGGGTTACCAGAGACGTTGCCACTGATGAGGAGCTACACAACCCAACGAGCCCGGCATGGCAGCTATAAGACCACAGAGTATCATTCCTTTATAAGAAAGATAAATCGTTGAACATTGGCTGGTCCTGTGAGGACCGACTCCTTGGAAGATCCCAAAATGTAACACCAACAGCTCTCCATCATTACAAACAGGCGCGGTATAAATATCATATTACAGATGAGGAATCAGGTCCTACCTTACTGGACTGGTGCCAAGATGCCATTGATACCAACTTTGCCAGGAGAACCGCCAGCTAAAATATCCCTTTGTAAAATCTCCTCAGAGTGAAGGAAGACGGCTGAAAAACCTGGAACACAAAATGATAATCCTCGTTCACAGCTACCCAGAGAACAAAATGCAGACAGAGGAAGTCTTAGATCCGCACAGCACTGTGAAACATTTTAAAGCTCATTAAAACACCTTCTGTGTCTAAACACACCTAGACTGCCTTGTGGGATATAAACCGAACAGCCAATATCCTTCCTGAGCTCCTCTGTAGTGGTGGAGAAACTCTACAAAGGTTTTCTGTATTAGAAAACATCTATGTGGTCTGCAACTCGGGTGTACAATCGCTATACTGCGAGCTGTGACTGTGATGGGACATTAGAGTGTAAGCTCCTCTGGTACAGAGATGATGGGACTGTGGGGGAGGGGGCATTAGAGTGTTAGCTCCTCTGGTACAGAGACTGATGGGACTGTGGGGGAGGGGGCATTAGAGTGTTAGCTCCTCTGGTACAGAGACTGATGAGACTGTGGGGGAGGGGGCATTAGAGTGTTAGCTCCTCTGGTACAGAGACTGATGGGACTGTGGGGGAGGGGACATTAGAGTGTAAGCTCCTCTGGTACAGAGACTGACGGGACTGTGGGGGAGGGGGCATTAGAGTGTAAGCTCCTCTGGTAGAGAGACTGATGTAACTGTGGGGGAGGGGACATTAGAGTGTAAAGTCCTGTGTACAGAGACTGATGGGACTGTGGGGGAGGAGACATTAGAGTGTAAGCTCCTCTGGTACAGAGACTGATGTGACTGTGGGGGAGGGGGGACATTAGAGTGTAAGCACAGAGACTGATGGGACTGTGGGGGAGGGGACATCAGAGTGTAAGCTCCTCTGGTACAGAGACTGATGGGACTGTGGGGGAGGGGACATTAGAGTGTAAGCTCCTCTGGTACAGAAACTGATGTGACTGTGGGGGAGGGGACATTAGAGTGTAAGCTCCTCTGGTACAGAAACTGATGTGACTGTGGGGGAGGGAACATTAGAGTGTAAGCTCCTCTGGTACAGAGACTGATGGGACTGTGGGGGAGGGGACATTAGAGTGTACATTTTTTTTTATAAAAATCCTGCAAACAAATAACATCATAAAAATCATATTTACATATATACAGAATAAAATATTTATAATTAAACAAAACCAGCTTACTTCAGCAAAGTATTAACAAATCCTGACCGTCACCTAAACACCCCCTCAGAGTGTAAGCTCTTCTGCTACAGAGACGGATGGGACTGGCTCAGTGTTCTCTGTACAGCGCTGCGGTATATGTCAGAGCTATAAAATGTATAATAATAGTGTGTGACTGTGGGGGAGGGGACAGTAGAGTGTAAGCTCCTCTGGTACAGAGACTGATGTGACTGTGGGGGAGGGGACATTAGAGTGTAAGCTCCTCTGGTACAGAGACTGATGTGACTGGGGGGGAGGGGACATTAGAGTGTAAGCTCTTCTGGTACAGAGACTGATGTGATTGGCTCAGTGATCTCTGTACAGCACTGCAGTATATGTCAGAGCTATATAAATGTATAATAATAATAATGTGTGACGGGGGAGGGGACATTAGAGTGTAAGCTCCTCTGGTACAGAGACTGATGGGACTGTGGGGGAGGGGACATTAGACTGTAAGCTCCTCTATTACAGAGACTGATGGGACTGGCTCAGTGTTCTCTGTACAGCACTGTGGTATATGTCAGAGCTATATAAATGCCTAATAATGGTGTGTGACTGCAGGGGGACATTAGAGTGTATGCTTCTCCGGTACAGAGACTGATGTGACTGTGGGGGAGGGGGACATTAGAGTGTAAGCTCCTGTGTACAGAGACTGATGTGACTGGCTCAGTGATCTCTGTACAGCACTGCGGTATATGTCAGAGCTATATAAATGTATAATAATAGTGTGTGACTGTGGGGGAGGGGACATTAGAGTGTAAGCTCCTGTGTACAGACACTAATGTGACTGTGGGGGAGGGGACATTAGAGTGTAAGCTCCTGTGTACAGAGACTGATGGGACTGCGGGGGAGGGGACATTAGAGTGTAAGCTCCTCTGGTACAGAGACTGATGTGACTGTGGGGGAGGGGACATTAGAGTATAAGCTCCTGTGTACAGAGACTGATGGGACTGCGGGGGGAGGGGACATTAGAGTGTAAGCTCCTCTGGTACAGAGACTGATGTGACTGTGGGGGAGGGGACATTAGAGTGTAAGCTCCTCCGGTACAGAGACTGATGTGACTGTGGGGGAGGGGACATTAGAGTGTAAGCTCCTGTGTACAGAGACTGATGTGACTGGCTCAGTGATCTCTGTACAGCACTGCGGTATATGTCAGAGCTATATAAATGTATAATAATAGTGTGTGACTGTGGGGGAGGGGACATTAGAGTGTAAGCTCCTGTGTACAGACACTAATGTGACTGTGGGGGAGGGGACATTAGAGTGTAAGCTCCTGTGTACAGAGACTGATGGGACTGCGGGGGAGGGGACATTAGAGTGTAAGCTCCTCTGGTACAGAGACTGATGTGACTGTGGGGGAGGGGACATTAGAGTATAAGCTCCTGTGTACAGAGACTGATGGGACTGCGGGGGGAGGGGACATTAGAGTGTAAGCTCCTCTGGTACAGAGACTGATGTGACTGTGGGGGAGGGGACATTAGAGTGTAAGCTCCTCCGGTACAGAGACTGATGTGACTGTGGGGGAGGGGACATTAGAGTGTAAGCTCCTCCGGTACAGAGACTGATGTGACTGGCTCAGTGATCTCTGTACAGCACTGCGGTATATGTCAGAGCTATATAAACATATAACAATAATAGTGACTGTGGGGGACATTAGAGTGTAGCTTCATCTTGTGCTCTGTAAATACAGAACATTTCTCAGTCAATTATAATTAGTTATACACATTATTATTATTATTATTATTATACAGGATTATTATTATTATTATTATTATTATTATACAGGATTTATATATTATTATTATACAGGATTTATATTATTATTATTATACAGGATTTATATTATTATTATTATACAGGATTTATATTATTATTATTATACAGGATTTATATATTATTATTATTATACAGGATTTATATTATTATTATTATACAGGATTTATATATTATTATTATTATTATACAGGATTTATATTATTATTATTATACAGGATTTATGGCGCCAACAGTTTGCTCAGCGCTTTACAATATAAAGGGAGACAATACAGCAACAATACAGTTCAATACAAGAGGGATAGGAGGGCCCTGATCCTGGGAGCTTACAATCTAGGAGGGAGGGGCTGGTGGTACAAAAGGTAATAACTGTGGGGGATGGGCTGGTAGGAAGAATAGAAGATTCCATTATTAGCTGAAGGTGAAATATTACTGTTACATTGTTCTGTAGAAGAATTAGGATAGTAAATCAGCTCCAGCAGGTGTCATATCACAGATTCACGCACCATGTGAAGAGATACAGTGAGATTGTTTGAACACAACGTGTAACCAGATTGCCTGAGGAAGGTGGCTTCACAATTTGCCACAATTACATTCAGTGTTACGTTGTGATTGGTACACAGCTCTTCCTTGACACATGAACGACTTCCACAACTTGGAGGAAGTGATAAACATGACAAATACGTAGTACGTCGACAGAAAATTCTAAAAACTCAAATACTAGAAGGAATAGACAGGAAAGTAAAGTTAGGACGATGAAAAATATAATTAGCGAGCATATTTGTAAGGACCGGGATCTGAACCCGCGATCTCTTCTTCATCTGGTGGCAGGTCTCCTTGCTGAACCATCTGAGATGCCGGATAGGATCTTGTTTGTCTTGTCTTGTATCTTGTTCCTGGCGAACCTTAAACTCTTTGCTCTTCCCATGAAATTCCTATTTAACTGCTTCCGCACAGAAATACTGCTACGGGGCGGCACGTATATATTCGTGATTTTGCAGATCCGGGTAGGGGGTGCACGTGATCTACCCGCATCGCCATTTGCGGCTCGGCTGATGATCTCCAAGGATTTCCGACGGGGGAGAGACCTGTATGTAAACAATACAGATCTCTCCCCTGCCAGCTCCTCAACACTGCTTTGTATGGCTCTGCATGGTAGCTTTCTGATCAGGACGGTGGGCCATGCCGGAGTAATGTGAGTACATGAGGCTGTCCATGCTCT